AATTGCTCGTTTCGAAAGATTATTTTGTTGATATTAACGACGCAAAAGCTAAACGTAAAATTTATAACAAAAAATTCTTGAAAAGGGCGCATCACCACTGCTTTAAACATTCATCTAAAATCATTGCACTTCCGCACCCGCATCCGCTTTCGGTTCCGCAAAAATTTACTATCTACTTCTATCGCTTCTGTTTCCGTTGTGACACTTCCATTGCATCGCTACCATTCGTGTATACCAAAATCATAAGAACATTAAAAGTTGTTCAGCACTAAACTACCAGACGTAAATAGCGAATTATAATTTATTAGTTCTCATCAGCACGTCATAGGCAGTTTAGATAAATTGTATCGGTCAAACAAAAAGTTGTCTATTAGAGCAAGTTGATAGATATAATATCAAGTTGTGGGAAGTAACCTACGGATTCATCGAGATCCACGAGAAATCGCTGGTGATACTTATGTTCGCAAAAATAAATTTTAGGAGAGCAGTTCAAGCGTGGCAGGAGAGGTGGGAAAAGTGTGTGTAGAGCTTCACAAGGATACTAATACTTCGGAGACTTTATTAACTTTTCTGTAAATAGCTAGCCCCTCGTATATACTGATCCACAATTAATTGACTTTAGCACATAGATGTACATACATACCTCCTTCCCACCACAGATACCGCGATAGTAGGCACTGTTACGAACGAATGCCGCAAGTAATAATCGATATGGTGATATTAGTACTACCGAAAATCGACAGCAGAGATCACAAATCTCATGCGAACACGACACACACACACAGCCTGCTACTGAGAGGACCTTACACGCAAGGTATTCAGAAATATTTCATGACAGCATAAATAAGTGACTAAAATCTGACGGGATAGTCGACAGTGATATAACAACACGCTGATATAGATTGATATATCTATGTATGTAACGGCAGATTGTTTGATAACTAAGTGATATTTAATACGAATTTAAGGTTAACAAAATAGAATAGGTACTAGAATATTCGTAGAAGTGCGAAAAATTAAACTGTTTACGTTTTATTCTTCGGTTAAGTACACTTTTAAAGAATGTGGTTACGATAATACAAGTATGTTTTCAATATCATCGTCATCATCATCATCATCATAAAGTCGTCAGTCCTAAAACTGGTTATAATAGAAAAACGTTTAATTAACACATCAACCACAACCTTAATAATGTACATTGTACGCAGCTTATAATTTGCATATTGCCGAGGATATAGAATCCACAAACCGATACTTTGATGTCATTGTTTCTGTATGTTTATTGGCCCTGTATATAGTCAAAACGTTTTTCTCGTCATTTATATGTAAATTTAATAATGTTATTTACAGTGTCATTAGCTAACAAATAACCGCCGATAAAATTAACTTTCATTAATTTACAATGGTGTTTAATTTAACCAATACTAATTTAAGAGAGCATCGAACAGGTTACGCAGTTTAATTACTTGGGATATATGGTTAAAGGGATGGGATCCTGATAATAGATCAGATGCAGGATCGCACAGGCCAGAAGGACGTTCCTAAGATTTTGAAAATTTCTTACAGATAAGAACTTGAATTGTAACCTTAAATATAGGATGGTAAAATGCTATGTCTGATTTGTTCTCCTGTACGGGGTTGAGGCATGGACGCTGAAAATACCAATAATCAACAAAATTGAAGCCTTTGAAATGTGTTGAGGGTGTCTTGGGTTGAACATGTGAGAAATGAGGGCATTCTCCGTAGAGGCGGTTTAGCAGACCGAGAATTCTTCAAAAATATCAAAAATAGAAAGATAGGTTATCTCGGACACATACTGCGTAGAGAACGCTACCAGTTTCTGCAAGGTAAAATTGAAGGAGGGAGTAGAGGAATAGGCAGAAAAAGATTATCGTGGCTAAAAAATATCCGCCAATAGACAGGGATAAAAGACTTCCAAACACTACACCATGCTGCAATTAATAGAACCATATGGTAAGAAAACGGTTAACGACTGCGCAGAGGAATAGCACGGCACTACAAGAAGAAGATGAATTTAAGCGGTAGAGATACTGGTACCTGTATTGCAATAGAATATATCTAACGAATGTTCACAAAAGTGCTCAAAATAACTGACCAGGATCGCACATCCTTCCATATAATCTTCAAAATTTCTAACTTTTTCAAAAATTTTAATGGTCTCAAACATTGTAAATATCTATTAAAGCGCATCTAAAGTCTCATTTTTCTATTGAAATTTTTCCAAATATCATATTTTTCCTTTTCTGAATCATTAACCTGCGTCTGTACATCAAAGTTCATCTTAATATTAAATAAATAGGTACTCATAAAAAACAGGATGGGAGGACAGTGACATACAGTGGGACACATGTGTATGTACATGCTACTAATGGACGGAAAGGCCGAAACCATAAGGATTCTCAATTCGGTAACAGAACCCTATAATAAAGATCGTTAGAAAACATTGACCATATGAAAGGATTTAATTATCCTACTCGGAACCGTATTGCAATTTAATTTTATCAGTATGTCTACATAATGGTACTTAATAGCCTTTTATGTATTTGATAAAGGTAAATATAGAATACATACGAATAAACAATTTTACCCTTGCAGGTAGCTTGTTCCATTTGATCTGATCTTCTTTATTATTTATTAACATATATACCTTAAGCAATTAAATTTTATTCAATTTAATCCGATATTTTAAGTTAGACCTTAAAAATATTAATGGTTTTTAAATTGACAAATTAATAATTAATCAGAATGATCAACTTTTATTTGAAATGTTTGACTGTGATATACTGGATGAGAAAAAAAATTAATACCATGAAATATTAACTGTAATTAACCCAAATACTATTTAAACGATTGGAAAAGATTAAGCACAAAATAATGGCTCTGTCATGATGATTAGGTCAGTCTATGAAAATTTTTGGTTAAGATTACAATGGATATTAAAACAACTAAATATTTCTATTGAGCTCATGCCGACTGTTTCATGATATCATCTTAATTTTTAAACTAGTAAGGGGACTAATCCATCTGCCAGATTTGGTTTGAAAACTGAATACCATGGGTTACAGACAGTGCCTGACTTTAGCAAAATGAAAGACTAAGATACATATAAGAACTGATAAGAATAGCGTGACTACCTCCAAAGAAATGATCATGAGTGTTGGAAACGGGAGCCCCAGGTGATTTTTTTTCACTAGGGGCTCACAATCTGTAAATGTTGAATAAATAGATTCCATCAACTTCTTAAAGAAGCGAGTTTCACTGCTGTCACGTATTTTGTGCACTTCTAATTTGAACATAACCAACGGGAAATAATGGTTACGTTAGAAGTTATGCCAAACATGTCTCACTTCTAAAAGTTTTAGTGGTACGTAGTGGGTGAGTCTCTTTTTGTCAATAAAGAAAAATTAAATGTAAAAACTAAAACACACATACTTAGATACTTCTATAGCAATTAAAACCACGACTAATAATTAGAATCGTTAGATGTTAGATCAGAGCCAACGGTAAGGAATAAATAATAATTTATTTATATTTAAAGCCGATCCGACGTTTCGCCTATTGTTTTAAGGCTATTTCAAGGATAGGTTTAAGCGTTTACATTATATAGCACTACAATCGTTCCTGGTATCTAATTAAAAGCATATGATATCATAAATAAAACAGTAAATATAGTTAACAAATTAAAAATCACGTGGTAAACACATAAACGTTCAATTAGATATTATGTGTCCACCAAGTCGTTTTGAAAATGTCAACTTTATATTTATTAAATTATTAAATACTGGTATACAAGGGAAGAAAAAGTAGGGAAAGAGCGAATATAAATACAGGAGACGAAAAATTAGAAGTTGCTGATCTAGGAAGGTATCTAGGAAGTCCGATAAGTCTGGACGGAAGGAGTAGTAGGAATATAAAGCAGAAGATAACGCACGGTCTAGTCGCAATCAATAAAAAAACTCTTCGAACGGTTAATGTAGAAATTAGGAAAAGATTGTTAAAGAAGCGTGTTTGGAGCGCGGCGCTGTATGGGTGCGAAACATGGACAGTGGGCTCGGCAAAAAAGAAAAAGTTAGAAGCATTCGAAATGTGGTGTTACAGGCGAATGATGAAAAATGAGGATACCTTGAATATAGAAGGCTAGAAATGAAGAGGTATAAGAAAGAATAGGAGAAGAGAGCACTCTATGGAAGTCAATTAGAAATTGGCGAAATAGCTTGGCAGGACACCTTCTCAAGCATGAAGGTCTAGTTAGAGACATGTTAGAGGCAGAAACAGGAGTTAAGAGGAGTAGAGGTAGACCTAGATTAGATTATTGTTCGCAAATGGTTAAGGATGTGGGTTGTTCTAGTTTTAGGGAAATGCGAAGATTAACTCAGGATAGGAAATAGTGAAAGGTTTCGTGTTCAACCAGTCTTAGGACTGACGACCTTATGATGATGTTTAATTATTTATATCACGAGCTTTTTTACGATATGTGCCTTTTTTCGATAGTAGCAACCATACCAAACTCTTAAAACAGTAGGCGAAACATCGAATGTAATTTAAAAATAAATAAATTATTTATCCCTTACCTACCGTTGGTTGTGATGATTTAGCATCCGGAAAAATATTAGGGGAAGAAAATGGATATCACGTTAATATCGACAATTTTATTGTCGATTCATTTAGACCCTCCATTTTTGAATAAATAAAAAATAACAATTGCGCTAATCTGTAGGTACTTAATAATGTACTTAGTTTAATGTGCTATCACAAAAAAAAAGAAAAAATTGACGCACTAATATTTATAACTTTATTAAAACAAACCCATTAGGTAATTACGATAGATTGGATTATGTTATAAGAAGTATTCACATGATTTCACTGATTTATTTTTAAATTCAGCACTATTCCTTTTTTTTTTTTTAATGCAGGGCTAAGTTATCAGAGATTCAAGTTTATCAAAATATAATTTAATTGTAAAATAGAAAATGACTTACCGAAGTAACTTAGGAGGACAGCAAACGATACAAAATATCCAAACGCCTGAAAGAAGTTCATCGTCGTTGTCATTAATATTTATAATCGTCACCTTATTCACACGCGTTTTTCGTTCGTATCACTAGCCTCCACGTGCTCACCGGTCGCGAATCGTCGGGGAAACAACCAACCTACCCTCCAGAACTAGGGTTGCAGACTGATCAAAGTGGCAAAGTTCCGTATTATTTCTAACTTCAATACGACTGCGCTGCCTCCAAAAGAGACTCGTAGATCTGGAACAGAAACTCAACTCAGGAACTTGTAAAGGAAAATCGCCTCCAGTACAATAAAATTAATGGAAATTAAGAACTAAAGAGTAAACTGAATCTCGTATTATTTCAGGGAAAAGGATTTTCGAACAGGCTTCAATAAATCATTGAAAATTATTTAGCGTTCAGCTTTCCCATCCCAGATATTGGAAAAAAATATGTTATTTTTAGAAATTCTTGACCTTATTAAAATTTAGCGTCCCTTTAATATTATCTAATTGGCATTTCCTTGGAATTTACATATTTTGTGGACAATGCTATGCACATCCAGTAGCGGTTCACTAGACTTTTTAATGGATTAACGTAATAATAATATATTGCGAGTTCAATATAAAATGAAATGTGACACTTTTTTTGCACCAATAATAATTGTTTCGCTTATTTGTAACTTCCTCAGAAGGTTATAGAATAAGTTACCTATATTGACTTAACCCTCGAAACATGTCAGATTTATTAATAAATATTTTTTGTGAATTTTATTACTTTACAAATGTGTATTAATATTTCTTAAAACCTCGTTCACAAATATTTAGTACAGATAAGTTTCAATTTCCTCATTTTATATTTATATTTTGCGTATGGTATTTGCTTATGTCAAATGTAATATACACGGTGCTTCTGAAATATGTTGCAAACTTTAGAGAGTAGCTGGAGGTAATAGACAATCTCACGGTAAGTACCTAAAGAAGTATGATTCATCATCTTCCTCATCATAAGGTCGTCAGTCCTAAGACTGGTTTGACACGTACTTTCAACCCTTTCTATCCTGAGCTAATCTCCTAAAGCAAGACCATCCCACATCCTTAACTATTCGCGAACAATAATCTATATCTATACTCTTTACTCCTGTTTCTGCCTCCTGTTTCTATCTCTGACTAGACCTTTTTGCCTGACAAGGTGTCCTACTAACCTAGGGTTGCTAACCGTCCTGTTTTCCCAGGACATGTCCTAGTTTTTGTAGTGTCCTGGGACGTCCTGAATAGTTTTTAAGCAGCGTCCTGGGTTTTTAAATTTTAAAATTCGCGCGCCTCTTCTCAAATTTTTACGCTTACGTTAGTAACTAACCTATGTCGCCTATTTTTTACTGACTTCCGTAGAGTTCTCTGTTCTCCTATTCTTTGTAATACCCCTTCATTTCTAACCTTCTCTATCCACGGTATTCTCATCATTCGCCTGTAACACCACATTTCGAACGCTTCTAACCTTTTCTTTTCCGCCGCACCCACCGTCCATGTTTCGTACCCGTACAGCGCCGCGCTCCAAACATACACCTTTAACAATCTTTTTGACGTGACAACGTCTTATAATTCAATGGAGCGGGCTGCACGCACGAAAAAACATGACTCATGCGGCGTTACCTCGCTCTGAGGCGTTCCATTTAAGGCTTGAAGTGCAAGCGAGAGCGCGGAACGAGCGACAAAGACGCACAATCGGCCTCCGCGTTCGGCAGCGTTCGACATCTGTCTCTCTCCTACTTGAGTGAGCGATGCGTCCGCATGGACAGCTGCTATACAATAATACATTTCCATTTACCTCCTTCTCTATATCCATACAAAATATCTATCATACAAATAAAATTAAAATTTTCTTTTGAAAAATGAAACTATTCCATACGTATTTTTTTATGACGTTGTCACGTTCAACTATCGTCAGTAAACCGACTTTACAGACAACCGATTTTTTTCGAATTTCTAAATTAACCGTTCGCGAGCATACAAGTGACTTCTTTTTATTGAAGGCGACTCCACCCTGCGCTATCCTCTGCTTTATATCCGTACTACTTCTTCCGTCCTGACTTATCTGACTTCCTATATATCTAAAATCAGCCACTTCTTCTAATCTTTCGTCTTTATCAACTCCTGCAAGCTTGTTACTTATTGGACAAACCCCTGTATATGTATATATTATGAATTTTACTGTATCATCTGAAAAATTACAAGACGTACTGTATATAAAATACTTTTTATTTTTGTAGCGTTAATTAAAAAATTCATTCTTTAATACTCGTAGCGTACAGTTAGGTAGGTTAGGTTTGAGCGAATCTTAAATGTTTGAAAAGGATGATGCAGCAAGATTGGCTTTCGTTTATTTTTGAACGGATGGTAGCGTGCATTTCCGTGTTTCGTATGTGTGTATATATATGTAGGTATGTATGTTACACAGATACGTTGTGTTATCGTCTTTTTGTCACCTGTTGAAAAATAACCATTGATCGCGTTCAAGCCTGCGGTCTTTCCATTAGAGCTGTACTCAAGCTTAATGCCATGCACGACGTAGCCTTTCTTTTTCGTGCCACAATGTTTGAATACAAGTGCTACTTTGCAAAATCTCTACCAGACATCTACAAAAAGAAATACAAAGAGGTATTTATATGTAGCTAGTGCAGCGAATGCTGTCAACGGTTTTTCACCGACTTCAACCCAAACCACTATCAAAAGTACCACCAATATCGATCGCCTGCGGCATTCGTTCACAACACTATTCATCCGGTGACGTTTTATATCGGTCGTATGTCCTGCGAAACACCTTCTTTATATTTGTAAGAATTATTAAATAGAAGTAAAATNTTTTCGACAAAGGTAGATATGGTTTAGCAATTGTTTTATTTTCCAGAATTTGAAAAATTTGCAAGATATTGCGAAAAATATTGTAAAAAAAATTATATACGCCGTAAATACTGGAAAATAAAACATTTGGTATGACGTTATTCACCTTAATGACTATTTTTACTAAAAAGAACCTGAACGGCTTAATCAACGATGAGAAAATGTCGTTATTAATTCATTTTTATCGTAATGACCGTTTAAACATTATCTGTAGTCATATGTTTTGTTGATATTTACTTTAGCAGATCGATAGCCGACATTATGTACATTCTCCATTGGTGCAGCCTCTGAGTCCTTATCTCTATTACGTGCACAGGTACCGACCTATGCTTCCAATTCACGCCCAGGACCGGCTTAGGATTGTAACTTATTTGTTACTGTTTCTTCCATTTTTTTTTTGTCTCATTCACGCTGCTGTACTCGCCATATGCGGTTCTTTATTACCTACATTTAATTGATACCCTCCAAAATTTGTCACTTACTTCAAAATTATCTTGCATATGCTAGCAGCCGTTCATGTATTTTCAATATCCGCTAATGAGGTGAATAAAAACAATTTAAAGATATTGCAAAAAATATTATAAAAAAAATAAGTTCGCTATAAATGTCGGAAGAAGAAACATTTGCGAACCTTCGTTACACTCGCTTGGTATGACGGTATTCACATTAATGCCTATTTTTACTATAAGGAAACTGAAAGCGTTAAATTCGCAGTTGAATCACATGCTGAAATTAACCTTATCGCACAGTTCCTTTTGTGAGTATCTTTGAATGACATAAGCGTTACTCACCACTAATATCGCGTCGCCCTCTAACAATAAAGATACAGAAGGTTACTTCGTTTACTTCCTGTAGCGATGTGACCTTCAGTTTGACCGGCGCAAGGTAGAAAAGAACAGCACTAGGTTAGAAAAGGAAGACAACTCTCGGTCAAACTCTTAACCGGCGAGGAGCGTATAAATCGTATAGTACCGCACGGAAAAATTGACCATTTTATCCGCTACTCTTGCATTGCTCAAATGTGCTGTTATTGGTACCATTTTCTACAGAAAATATCAACGAGATGTTTATTTATATTTGAAGACATATTAAAGGCTTCAACGCTTGTTTTCGACTCGCACTACTATTCATGATTGAACAAAACTTTTGGCAGGTACTGTATGAAAAAGTATATTTAATGAACAAGAGTCGAGAGTATAATGAGCTTCTTTCTCCCTACCTACGATTTTGCCATCGCACATCCAAGACAATGGAAAGGGCACATCGCTACAGAAAGTAAATGAACTATAATAGATTAAACAAATGGGCGACTACAAAGCCAAATAAGTAACTGATTTCTAATCCTAACTCATTTTACTGGCAAAATTTGGACAATTAACTCGAGGAACTGAAACAATCCTCTGAGAAACGGTTCATGGCTAAGAAGCTCAAAATTAATCAACCAACGACAAGTCATCGTATCAACAGCATAGTTGACAAAAAAAAATAAACTCGAAAACAGACCAATTGACATACACATGCGGTAGGTCAGGTCACTTTTAAACGTTGGTGTTCTATTGTTTCCATTAAATTAATTGTCAGTTACACGCCAAATAGATAGGGTGCTTTAATTCATTATGTGAGTTATGATTAGAAGCCAACAAGTTATTTGACTGTAAAATCGCCCATTTATTCTACTTATCACCCTTTGTAAACCACCGCAATCGATTATAAATTGGAATCTAAAAATTCATGGCTATGTTAGACATCCCATACAGTCCCTACATCTATTGCAGCTCACGTTTGCGTGCAGTTTTCGCCCGCCATTAAATTTTGCATTAGTAATTTGGGTTAATTGGAATGAAGCAAACCGACGCATTTCACAATACATTTAATATTAATTACTTAGTAGACGCCATTAGAGGTGACCCGTTTAGCTTAACTCTCCACCCGTATGAACATTCTTGCATTTAATGTATCTAATTCAGTCGGACAGGTTTGATGTGACTAGAAATGCAACTTAATTACATAGTAGTTGAACATGAGGATTTTAACCTACGTACGAAAGTTTCTTTCTGACAGGTGAAAGTAATATTGATAAGAGAAATTATTCAACCTCATCATCGACGTTAGGCCCAAGATTGGTTGGACACGCACCTCCACTGTCTCCTATACTGAGCTAATCTTCGCATTTCCCTAAAACTAGAACCACCCACATCCTTAACTATTTACTAACAATAATCTAATCTAGGTCTACCTCTACTCCTCTTAAATCCTGTTTCTGTCTCTAAAATGTTTCTAAGGATACCTT